TTTCAAGCTACTTTTCTGCAATTGCTAAAATTACAGCTCACTTGTGAGAATTATTGCCTTACTTGATTTTAGTGTAAGGTCATAACTTTTGAAGAGCATGTTCTGGGTGTGGCGTACCAATTTCCGTTCGGACGATTTTACCTTATTCTTTGTTACCGAGGTAAATTCGACTATATATGCTTAGTTTCAAGAATTCACTAACCTGCTTTGAAAGAGACGTGGTGAGGATAAACCGCTTGATTTTCAAGGCTGGATTTTGAGTTGAAATAGTCTGTTGTAGTTCACTCCGTCGCCGACCAAGCTGAACTGACTGGAGTGTTAGGGTGGATTGATATCAAAAGCAAGAATAGAACAAACCAACGCTTTTTGATGATGATGATGCCACTTGATCCATCGTGTGATATTTAACGATTGGTTCGTACTTAGTGCGCGCGTATTTGTGACTTTAACTTTAAGTAAAATTAAAAAGAAGTTTCAAATGTTGTAACATAAAAGCGATCATTCGATTCCTACTTGTTAAATTTGAGATTGTTTATAGCCTTTGCAATTTTTTGGTTATTACTCTGTAATCCGTCTCATCAGTAGTGGAGGATTGCAATCAAATTTCATTTCTTGTTTCAGTAATTGAAATACTAGTTGGATAAGGCACTATTGCATTAGTCAATGCTTTGCTAAAGTCAAAAAGAAAAAAAAAAAAAAGAAAAGGGACCCTAGAGGGCAGCACAAAATTAATGATTACATAATCAGATGGTTTGGTTTTATCAACTGAGTTGACAACGTGACTTGCTGACGAAGGACTAATGCTCGAAACTTCTCCTGATTGCAGAATAAATATTCATGTTTTTCAGAGGTATATTTCATTTTATCTTTTGAAGAAATATCGACAAAATACTGTTAACTTTCAAAAGGATGTGCTTCAGCAGAACTTGGGAAAAAATACAGAATTGTATAGAATTCTCATTATCTAGTTTTTTGCCCCATCCTCATTCCTCTTAGTATGAGTCCGTTGCTTTCAAAAGCTACATTTTGATCTTCAATGAAGCGAAGCTGTGGAGACTGTTGAATGCTGTGCATTTCATCCTTCTTTTCGCAGTTTTCAAGGGTGTGTAATCTTAATCAATATGACTACCATCAAATGCCGCCCATGTTTGCACTATTCAATTTAAAAGGAAAACGAGAAACGTCGATTGACGTGTAAAGCGATAGGCAAAGTAATTTTCACTTTGCGGCTCAGCATGCGGGGGTGTGCATCTTTCAATCATCATTTAGCGAATTAAAGTAGACATTGAAGCTGTACTTATGCAATCATCAAGAATCAGTTAAATCTTTTTTTTTTTGTAAACGTCCTCTAAGACTGTTTAATGACTCATCGCATTGAAGGCTCCAGAATATTTTGAATGGGGCAACACGCGTCATCTTTCTATAATAGTAGTGAGGGTTAAATAGAGAGAACCCATGAGGGCTGCTTAGCAGTGTTTCGTAACGACTAGCTTTTGCGCTTTGAACTGTCACATAACATTTGACCCCAGTGTATTGTTCATTGTCGAATTTGGATCGCTTGCTTCTGAAAACTGATTTAAAAGTCGAATGCAGACACTCATGACTGCCTTCTTTTACTAATCCATAATGAAGTTTAAAGCGAATGGAAAGAGTTAGATACCCGTAAACACCCAAAATACAAAAGAAAAAATACTTAGGAAGCCAAATAGAAGCCAAATTAAAAGTCGGCACTCAGAAGTCAAAATTGAATTCTGTTCAAGGGAAACATACTTAAGATTTATAAAATTTAACTTTCAGCGTATCAGGTTTTGCTGAATAAATTTTGGGGTCTACCCCGAGACCCTGAGAATACTTTTGAAATGTCAAACAACAGGTTGCCCCTGAGCGCCACTGTTAGCTAGGGTCGACTATATACATTTTTTAAATTTTGAAACCAGTCGTTTGATTTCAATGAAGCCGATGTTTACCTTGTCTTATAATCAATCCTTTTATCAACCGTAAAAAAGGGTAAAAAGAATGCCGCCCCAGACTTATACAACGCTACAAAATTAAACATTTTTACTGTTCCTTTTCTGCATATGACCGTTTATGTACATCATGTTACTTTCTGTAATTTTTTTAAGTTTGGTTGTAAATATCCCCTGGATGACTTTTTAAGTATTCAACTCCGTAGAGCAGGCCTCAACGTTGTATATGTAAAGAGTATCATGGCTTAAAATGACTGAGCGCTTTTACTCGGTAAATTCCATTTCACTCTCTTGTCCCACTACTGATTAGATTTTTCTGTGATTCGTGCCGCTTTCATTTCGAGTTGTGCCACTAGACTTCAGCACCTCTCGTTTTTCTTCGTAATTTCACATAATTTGGAAATCGTTGTCGTTTTTTCCCCTTCAATTGAATACTTCTTCACAATCATAAGAGTACATCTCTTTTGAACACCACCTTCGCTCATGTTTGTTCGTTTTGCAATTTGTTTACTTTTGCTAGTTTTTTTTTCCAATTTTTTATTAGCAAATAAAATTGTTCAAGACTGAATAAAACAAATCTATTTAGAAAGCCGTGCCGAAATCAAATTGATTGTCATTTTCTTTTGTAGCTAGAGCATGACTTTCGTCTTTTCGCGCGCGAGTCATATCGCACGTTAAGCATGACACCTAATCAGTCTTCGTTTTGCCCAATAAATATGCGCATATCCATGAGATTGGTGACACGCTTAGCGAGCCGTGTCATTGCACGCGTGCTCTTGCCTTATTCCCTGTTTTCGCGTAGAGGGTCACAAATATTCCCTTTCGATAGAAAGCAGTTTTCACTTTTGATTGTTGAACTTTGCCCTCTGCATGCGACACTTCAATCAGTTTTTTCGAAAGCAACACAACTTAATACGAGTATTCTAACTTGAAATGACCGATGGCTTTAACAATTATTGAATACATGTATATATTTTCTAGCGCCAGAGCTAAGGCCAAAGGTTTACGACGCGCAGCTTTGACAATTTGTATAATAGGAGAACAGAACTGATAATAATTGCGTCAAAACAGTCTTTCAAAACTAACTAATTTTACTAATATTAAATCGGATCACAGATGAATAAGGGGAGAATATCAATCAGTTTTTTTCCAACTATCTTTTCAAGCGGCGTGAAATTGTTCACTCTCCCCTTTTTTTTCAGCAAAGGCTGTGTACCTTTGAAAATTTGTGTAATAGAATAACAGAACTGATAACTATTTCGTCAAAACAGTTTTAAAAAGCCCAATGCCATTATTTTTTTCCGCACGAATTTTAGTATTCTAGTCAACCTTCTCGGTTGATCTAAACAGAAACATTATTCAATGTATATTAAATCGGAATACTGGAAAATAAGGCGAGAAAAATCGGTTAGTTTTTTTCAACTATTTCTTCAAATGACATGAAATCGTTAACTGTCTATTTAATAAAGAAATGGTTTTGAGGTCAAGCCATTCAAATGCACTTGTTCAGATTAAAAAAAACACATTTAAAGAGTTATCTATTAACTTTGGCACTGAAATTAGTTTAGCACGCTGGAGACAATTTAAGGTTAGTTCAACGAGGATGGCGACTGCTGAAAAGCCCTCTTTACATCTGAAACATTCAGTCTACTTGGTCAGTGCTGTGGAGGTCGGCTGAACGGCCCTGATGAAGAAGGGGGGCTGTTTCGCCCGATCCCGAAAAAAGTAAGGAATATTGCTGCCGATACTATATGTCCACTCCCTTGGGTGCTCTAATGCAGTGGAAAAGATAAAGGCAACGCTTGCACTTGTGTCACTGCTTTCCCTGGATAACACAAATTCGTGTCCCGTGTAAGCGGGGTGCCCGGCCAGAAATCACTTCGATATGTACTCGTGTAGCATATTTTTTCGCTAACCAGTTGCAGTGTACATTTCGAATTCGCATATAAACCTTAATTTAGGTATTCCAATAAATATGCAAAGGAAAAGTGCTATTTGAGTTACGTTCTGAGCAGTCTTAACTCTTTGTAGCGACCTTGTTTACATTTAATTTCAGTTCCTAACTATTGCTCTCTTTGCTTAAACGAACTAAATTTAAAAAAAGGAAGTAGAAGCCTCTGTTTGGCATCCTCGGTATTTTCTCTTTTGCATTTTGGGTATTCACGGGTATCTAACTCATTCTATTCGCTTTAAACTTGCATTATGGTGGTAAGAACTGACTGCGGAACGTGTGGGATTTATGATGTATTCTAAACGTCACAACCACGAATCGAAAACAGAGATGTAAATCAATTGCTCTTATCAGGGATTTCAGTAAATGTAAATCATTTTGTAGGTTCCGAGATGCTTATTTTTGTACTAAAGTCACAATTTCTCATAAGTCTCGTCTCAATTTTTTGGTGTCTAATGATGATTAATAATTGACTCGCTTAATGCCCCTTAGCTAAGGAGGAGGACAACTGTTCAGAAAGACATATTAAAGTTCACATGGCAGCCAGATGGACAATCAGACATGCTTTGATGTCACTCTGGTTTGCAGATTTAATGAATGTAACTGAAGAAGTTACAATTCATAAACCTTTACATCCTGACACCTATTTACACCTAAATAGAAAAAAAGGCAGCTAATTAGTGATCGTATAAAAGGACCTTTTGTTGCAGCGTTTAAATCACCCCTGATGAAGTCACTAGACACAAGTGTCGAAACGTTGGGTCTATGAATTGTAACTTCTTCGGTTACATTCATTAAATCTGTAAACCAGAGTAGCATCAAACCATGTCTGTTTGGAAAGATTGGAAGTAGCTACTAGCATGATAAGTAAATGAAGGTAGTTATTGAAAAACTGAAGCTTTGAACGAGTCGACAACACATTTGCAGCCATTTTAAAGTCTCAGGGACTATTTATGACTGTACAAATTGAGAGGGTGACACTACACAGTTGATCAATGTTTTTGTTTTATTTTTCAACTGACCTGATTTGTATTGCAGTAACGTCAGAAAGTAATGAAATAATGAAAATACTTCCATCCCAGTTACAAAGGGTTAACACGAGCCACAGCAATTTCTTCCAGCTGGACCTTCTTGCCGTCTTTGTCATCAAGGTCGGTTCTCATAATGCGATGTTCTACGACGTGGTTCTCAGGCGGCGTGACCGGCTCCTCTGTTCTGTGCAAAAGGAGAAAAATACTTATAAAAATGCAATATACGTGTTTTACGTTCCCTATTGGCGTTGGGTTTTTACTTGTTTTATGAAAATCAATGCTTTTGAACTTTGTTTTTGGTACAATGAAGTTCCACAATTACTTGTATTAATAATGATTATTTTTTCATCGCCCTGAACATCTTTTACTAAGAAATGCAGGGAAGGAAACATATTTTCTAAGCTGTAAAGGATATTATGATAGATAACCTTTAGTATCTTGTGGAGAATCTTATTCAATCCCAAACATTTTATTGACAAGGGAAATTAGTATTAAGCCGTTCTCTCAAGGCCCTTTACATCTCAGTGTTCTCTTCGGTTGCTTTTATCCCATAAAACACCGAAGATGAGATCCAAATCCTCAAAAGGAATGATATTCAACCATTGGAGCTGTTACAGAAACAAAATACTTACCTGTAAGAAGTGTGAAACTGGCACCTGTGATAGCCGCCTCCTTTGAGTAGTAGGAATATAGTCACATCACCTCTCAATATGTTGTTGGAGACGGTCATTTTCTGAAAGGACGGGTCCCAGCCAATTGTCCTCTTTCCCATTATGGGTCCATTTGTGGGAAAGTAAACGCTATGAAACACGGATATGTGCTTAAACAAATTGCCCTCAAGACTGTAGAATTAAGAAATTTGAGATATCAATAAAAATATGTAAAATCACCCTTGAAACCTAGCGTGCAATGTGCTCTGTAAAATAATGCGTTAGTGCCTTTTATTTTTTTTTAGATTTTGTCATTTCCGCAACGATGTTTTTCGAACTAAATCCATTTTCTCACAGATGCCTATTTCAAAATTTAGCAGTCTGCATATTCTCTGGTCACTAGGCTTTTTTGCACGTTTGTTCCCCCTGTAGCTAAACAGGAAGCGCTCTCAGGAAAATCACAACTAAGTTACACTTTCATAAAGGGCACTTCCTTCTCCGTGTAAAAAATGACCTTGAAGATTTATTTTAAAGAGTTTTATATCAATCCCATTCTAATCATCACTTTTATATCTAATGTGTCCACTGGCTGTAGCAACTCCTCCATCTTCAAATGTAAATGTCCTTTCAAATGACATTCCAGCAGGAAATGCTTGTTTGAAATAGCAGGTAATTTAGTGTTAACAACTGGGTTGAAAACGTAAATTAGCCACCGTAAAGGGTAAAAAGGCTGACGTTTCGAGCGTTAGCCCTTCGTCAGAGCGATTAGAGGAATTGTGGGTTGTGTGTGGGTTTATATGCAGAAAGTGGAGCTACGCCATTGGTGGGAATATGGTGACGAGAAAACAGGAATAAATTAGTTGAATGAAAAGCGCTCGTTGATTCCGTGGGGATTAAGGGTGCCGATTTGGAAAATAAATTTTTGGTTTGGATGCGTCCTTGTCATTTCTTTCCACATCGCGAAGGTGTTCTCGGAATCGGTCACCCAGTCGTCTTCCTGTTTCGCCGATGTATAACTGATTGCAATAAGTGCAAGTTCTGCAGTAAATAACATTGGCGGAGGTACACGTAAAGTGATCAATGATCTTAATGGATCTTTTGGGTCCCGATATTTTCTCTACGTTATGAATGAAAGGACAAGTTTTGCATCGTGAGCGAGCGCATTTAAAAGTTCCAGATTGGTCATTGGTTTGAAATGAACTCCTGACTAAAACGTTGCCTATGTTTTTGTCACGTTTGAATGAAATAAGTGGGGGTTGCGAAAAGATAGTGCCAGTCTCTGAATCGTTTTGGAGTAATTTAAAATTTTTAAGAATGATAGATTTAACTGCGTGGTTGTGAGGGTGTAATGTAAGAGTAAATGGAATGCGGTCAGTGTTTTCCTTCTCGGCCTGTCGATCGATTTGTTGGGCACGGTGGTAGCCCGCTTGAACGACAGAAACAGGATAGCCACGTTTATCGAAAAACTGGCACATTGCCTCTGATTTTTCGGAAAAATCAGAGTCGTCACTACATAAACGACGAAGTCTGAGAAACTGTGAGAAAGGTATGGAGTTCTTGACGTGTGATGGATGTGAAGATGAATACAACAAGTAACTATGTGAATCTGTAGGTTTGTAGTAAACACTAGTACATAAGCCGTTGCATTCAATTGAAATTTTGAAGTCTAGAAAAGCCAAAGAAGTGTCGGAAATTTCCCAGGTATATTTAAGAGCCGGATGAAAGGAATTGATGGCGGTTATAAATTGAGTGAGCTCCTCTTTGGTAGAGAAGGTAGCGCCGATGCAATCGTCAATGTAGCGGCCGTAGAGTTCAGGTTTTGGGCCGTGCTATTGGCTAAAAAATTGATGTTAGATAAAACCTACAAAAAGATTGGCGTAGCTGGGTCCCATTTTAGTACCCATGGCCACGCCATTAGTTTGTTTGTAGTGGTTACCACCGAATGAAAAGCAACTGAGTGTGAGTACTAGTTCGGCCAAACGGAGTAGTGTTTCAGAGCTAGGTTCCTTAACAGTGCGTTGATCGAAAAAAATGTTTCAGGGCCCTGAGACCTTCGTCATTGGGAATGACAGTGTAAAGAGATGTTATATCCATGGTGAAAATAAGTTTGTTTTGGTCGAGGAAACTAAAGTCACGAAAAATTTCAAGTGCGTGTTGGCTGTCCTTAATGTAAAACGGTAAAGTTTTGACGATAGGTGCCATAAATTTGTCTTAATAGCTGGAAATAAGTTCGGTGGGGCAACTGCAGGCAGAAACGATGGGTCGACCTGGGTTGTTAGGTTTGTGGATTTTAAGTAAAAAGTAAATACACGAAGTTCTAGGAGTGGTAATGATGAGATTTTTAGCAGTGGCCGGCAATTCTTGTTGTTCCAATTCGGCAGGATACTTAGTGAAGCATCTGTTTCCATATTTGAACACTCACGACAGTATGTCAAAGGAAAATGGAAGGGGTCCTCCCTTGGTAACCTAAAAAGTGGATTTCTGTACTCCTCTAGAATAAGATGATAAGTGTGTTGGAAATTATTTTCAGAAACGGCTCATTAATGACCTGAAATACACAAAAATTAGGGAGAACCAAATATTTTATGCTCATGATAATTCAAACTTAAGTCAAATACGGATGAACTTTCATGTTAAGTTGTAAGAAATTACAGTACCGCAAATAAATTTAGCTGTGACTGAGCTTCTCTGCGATGATTTGAAGTAGCTTTACATTTCGCTTGATTCTGGAAGCAGATGAAGAACTCGATGTCATAGACTGTTGGTAATTTGTATAGCAATTACATTTAGCTGTGACTGAGCTCTGCAGTAGCATTTACACCTCGCCTGATTATGGAAGTAGATGAAAAAGTCGCTGTCATAGAATGTAACTAATTTTCAAACTCGAATAAAAAGAAGATCATAGTTTATGACTGAAAATCTTATGAATCTTTGATCTTGTTCACTTTGCTTTTCAAAAAAGTCTTTATTCAGTTTTTAAAATTTCCCAAAATCATTGATACTTTAATATCAGGCCTTTACCTAACAACTGCAATGTGGTCCTAATCAACTCTGTGCTTAAAACCAAATTGTTTTAGATAATAATGAAATAATTCATCGTGGTCTGTCTTTTAAGAGACACTTACTCGTAAGGCTTTCCTTTTCCTTCACCTTCGATCTCAAAGTAATGTCCATTGACACTACCCTTCATTTCAAATTTCAAATTCATGTCTTTTAGAATGACCTGAATAAGTAAAAAGTAAAGAAACGATTATTTTCTGCTGACACTAATGATTCAAAGACCTATGCTAGTTTTAATTAATTGCTAGCGGTTTACAAGAGAAATTATTGATTTATACTATTAAGGTACAGCTTACGCCGTATCAAATTAATAGAGTGCGCCTGATGAATGGGAAATGGACATGCTGGCGCATTAATTTACTTCTGACTTGTTTCCCCAATTACATTTTCTGTGTAGTTTTTGTTATTTTCAAAATGTTACTGTAAACTTGCGCTCGAGGTACATTATTTTATAACAAATTATATTCAATGTTTTTAAATGTGCAACGCGCAGCTAGTTTTTTTACAGAGTTATTTCCACTCAAATATGTTTAATGTTTATACAAAATTCTAATGTAGAAGATAGAACTCGTAATAATATTTTACAAGACATTGTTCACAATTACAATAATACATATCATAACATTATCAAAATAACATTAAGTGAAACACAAAAGAAAGAAAAATGTAAGTGTATCATATCTTATTTCTAACTTCTCCAAAAAACTTGACATAAAACACATAAACCCAAATATATTATTAAATTAGCTTTAGATACTATCCAACTGGTATTTCAATTAAAAGAAGAAATGAAATTTTACTACAATTATCTCTTAGTGGACCCTTGTTTGACGAAACGGATTACTGACCAACAAATTGCGTAGGCTATAGACAGTCTTAAATCTAAGAAAAAGGAATGGAATGATTACTTTTGTTTCAAGATTTGAGACTTCTTTTAAATTTTACTGATAGTTTAAGTTCGAAATACACGCGCACTGAGCATGGACCAATTATTCGATATCACACTATGGTTCACGTCGCATCACCAGTATCAACGAGTGTTTGTTTGTTCCATCTTAGCTTTAAACATCAATCCACCCTAACGCTCCAGTCAGTTTAACTTCGTCGGCGACGGAATGAACAACAGGCTATCTCAACTTGTAATCCAGTTTTGAAAATCAAGCGGTTTATCCTCAACATGTCTCTCTCAAAGCAGGTTATTGAATTGATGAAACTAAACAAAGGGAGTCGAATCTACCCCGGTAACAAAAAATAAGGTAGAGTCGTCCGAACGCAAATTGGTATGCCACATCCAAAATATGCTCTTCAAACGTTATGACTTTACACTAAAATCAAGTAAAGCAATTATTCTGACAGATAAGATGCAATTTTAGCAATTGCAGAAAGGAAGCTTGATAAAACTAGACTTCGAAAAATACTAGTTGGGCGCTGCTACTAACCAACAAGGAATCCACACTTAAGAAGCAATGGACATTTTTGAGAGTTTTTCTTTCCCCCGAGAAATCTGAGCTTCATCTCTGATGAAATGAATATCATTTCACCTGGGGATAAAAAGCAAGTAAAAAAATGATCCTCGCAGGTGAGCCTCGATTTTCCTGGGTGTTCCAGCCTGTTGTCAAGTAGAATTCGCAATTTTGAGGGTACAAAACTTAATATTTGGTACTGTTCATTATCTATCTCCTAAGAGGAGGAGTTGAAGTATTTTGGTTCATTTACGAAATATTCTTTTGACACACTTTATGACTCCCCAACCCCCCCTCCCCCCGTCACTACAGTTAATTTCCAGTCAATTTTGTATAGCTCCCCGTTTATACTTATGCATCTTATTAATGAAGCCAGAATAAAATTTTTTCCAGGCAAAAATAAACAATAGATTGAGTTTGATCGCTTTGTCTCGCTAGTTTGAAAAGGTACTAAAACAGATGCATGCCCCACAAACCACAGACAGAAAAATGGTGTCCGACGTACGTGGTCCAGGTTCGACTAATGTGATACGCAAAAGGAACTGCATGCTGACGCACTAGCAAAAGAAGGACGAATTTTGGAGGAAAATTGTCTTTATAACAAAATGTTAATCATTAATAAGGTCACAACGTAAAGTTGAGTAAGCCAATCGGTAGTCCGCGTTTAAGAGTTTTCCGGTTAGTATACCCTTTTAAACTCCCGAATCCCTAAGTCCTTGTGTCGCTCAAGTCGTGATAGAACTTCCATGTAAGATGTGCAATGCTGTCCTTGAAAATTTTGGGCATGTAAATGAGATCAAGAGCTATTTGCGTGACAGTGAATTCAATGACCATGATCTTATTATAAAATTACAACATTTAGAAGATAAATTAATGAATCAACGCCTAATATGGATGATTATAATAAGACGTATGACAAAAAAAGAAAAGAAGATCATATAAGAAAAACAATATCTTCAAATATGCTGTCATATTTCGTCAATGTTTGTTTACCAAGTTCCTTATCAAATAATTATTTTATAACATTATCCATATAACTTAAGATTCTGAAGAAGATATAATTAAACTTAACAAACCTTTTAATCTTCATCTGTACCATTTGCCGTTCTGCTTTTTAAAAGAAACGGTAAAACTCGTTTATTTCGCCGTTGCTGAACATGATATGGTACTTATCAATTGTGTTATTCAAAACCTTGTTCACACGATATTTTCTTCGGTAGACTGACTCTTTTTGTGTTTCTATGACGTAGACGATAATAGTCGCAAAATCATAATTAACGACTTGACCGCATTGACGGCAAACAATCATTCAATTATCATGAATTAAGTCTTGGTTTTGACAAAATTTATCATCTTTTTAAGCCACTCTATCATTTTGAAAATGAAACTCATTAACTAAATCTAATATCATCATCTATATTTATTCAAAGTAAAATATTTTTAAAGAATCTTCTGTTTGCGCTTAAAAACATATTGTCACGCGTAGCAAAACACTGACAACAATAGCCACACATACATTACTCATAAAAAGCGTGGGAAACATGAACATATTTTGCTTTTAAGTATTTATTTCAGTCTATCATTAAAACACTCAATGATTAGACGGATGGGAAATGGGCGTTAATAAGTGTAGGTAATCACATGATTTCGAGCGCAATTTGGAATGAATAAGCATTAGTAATATTTTTTAAAGACTAACAAAATTGCACATAAAATTGCAGCTAAACACCACTTTTTCCAAACCGACAACCAAAACTCAGTGCTTTTTACAGTGTTTTCGTTGTTTGAGCTGTTTTTCAGCTGCGGTGGAAAAAGAAAACCTTCTTAAAACGCCGGCCATTGTTTCGCTCGCAAATTTTGAAATTTTGTCGCGACATCCAAGGCTCGCTATCTTCGAGTTTCTTTGGTTATTGACCAATCAGAATGTCTGATTTGTTACTTTCTTTGCACTGAATTAACCCTCTCCTGCACTGAATTCACTTTCTTCTGCACTGAATTACCTGAAAACTGCAACTAATCTTAACCAATCAGAATTGAGTAATTTTTCCATGTATATTATTAGCATTATAAAATGTATTTCTGAATAAAGTTTCGTTGCGTGTGACATCAGAATTTCGTATAAAAATATTTGAGTGAAAATAATCCGGATATAATGGATTTATTTTGCGTTAACAGTTTACTAAAATATGAATTCTTTTAATAAACTAGCGGCGCGTGACACATTTAAAAACACTGATTACAATTTGGTATAAAACAATACACCTAGAGTAAGCGCAAGTTTCTAGTAATATTTTGAAAATAACAAAACGTACCCAAAATTTGTAGCTGGGGAAACAATATGTAAACTAATGCACCGACAAGCTCATTTCGCATTCACCAGACGCACTGTGTTTATTTGAAACCAATAATTTATATTGTATCGTTTCACATAGTGAGAAAGTATCCCCTGGAAAATTAGAACCAGCTTAGGTCTTTGAGATGTTTCACAAGGTATCCTACCGACATGCCCGACCATTTTCATTTCCTGCTGGAATGTTGTATGAAAGGACATTTACATTTGAGGACGGAGGAGTTGCTACAGTCAGTGGACATATTAGGTTTAAAAGTGATGATTAGTATGGCATTGAGACAATGTTTTTTAGAAGAGATCTTTGAAGTCATTTTTCACATGGAAAAAAATTTTCTTAATTCTACAGTCTTGAGGGCGATTTGTTTAAGCACAGATCCATGTTTCATGGCGTAAACTTTCCCGCCGACGGACCCAAAGTGGGAAAGAGGACAACCGACTGGGACCCGTCCTTTGAGAAAATGACCGTCTCTAGCAACATTTTGAGAGGTGACATGACTATGTTCCTACTACTCAAAGGAGGCGGTTATTACAGGTGCCAGTTTCACACTTCTTACAAGTAAGGATGTTGTTTCTGCAACACACTTCCAACGGTTGAATATCATTTCTTTGGAGCATTTGGATCGATCTTCTGTGTTTTACGGGATAAAAGCAACCGAAGGGACTTGAGAGAACGGCTTAACACTAATTTTTCCCGTCAATAAAATGTTTGAGATCGAAAAAGATTCTTCTTTGTTTCCTTCCCTGCATTTCTCAATAAGAGATGTTCCGGGCGATAGAAAAAATACTCATTATTAACAAAAGTGATTGCTGAACTACACTGTACCCAAAATAAAAACAAAGTTCAAGAGCATTATGTTCAAAAAACAGATGAAAAACCCAACGCTCATAGGGAGCATATTTTTTATTTTAATAAGTTTTTTTTTCTTCTTTCGCACAGAGCAAAGGAGCCGGTCACACTGCCTTCGAACCACGTCGTAGAACATCGTATTGTGAGGAACTACCTTGATGACGAAGACGGCATGAAGGTTTAGCTGGAAGAAATTGCTGTGGCTCATGTTAACCCTTTGTAACTGGGATGGAAGTACTTTTATTACCTTATTACTTCTGACGTTATTGTAATACGAATAAATTCAGTGGAAAAGTAAAAAAGCATTGAAATGATCAACTGTGAAGTGTCATCCTCTCAATTCGTAAAGCCATAAATACTCCCTAAGATTTTATGGCATTGTACTGGGTGCAAATGTTTTGTCGATTAGTTCAAAACTTCAGTTTTATCATGACTGCCTTCTCTTACTAATCCTAATCATGCTAGGGGCTACTTACAACTCTTTCTGAACAATTGCCCTTCTCCCTAGCTAATAGGCATGGAGCAAGTCAATTGGTCATCATAATTAAACACTATGAAATTGTGACATGACTTTTGAGAAATTGTGACTTTAGCTTAACAATAAGCATCTAAGAATCTACAGAGTGATTTACATCTCTGTTGCTGATTCGCGGTGGTAAAGTTCAGTACATCATAAATCCCAGTCTTTCCGCAATCAGTTCCTACCACCATTATGCAAGTTGAAGGCGAATGGAAAGAGTCAAAAACCCGTGAATACCCGAAATACAAAAGAGGAAATACTGAGGAAGCCAAATAGAAGCTTCCACTTCCTTTTTTGACAATTAGATCGAATTATAACGAAGGCAATAAAACCGACCTATTTTGGAGCCGTGTGAGCCTCTTAACACTTAAAGCACATATACAGAAAAGTTGAGGTACTATGAAGTCGTGTAGGCTTGCCAGCCCCAATTTACACTCGATTGTTAAATGGGCGCTTTGAACTCTCTGAAGAAACATTCTGCAAGATGCTTCCAGAACGCCGAGGCGAATGTGATTTGAAAACAAATGAAATTAAAGAAAATCAAGAAGTCATCTCGACTTAGCGGAAGAAGAGGCTCTAACCAAAATTTGGGGTTGGAAGAATTCAGTGTGGTCATCCCAGCACATGGAAGAATGCTTCTAACCTTAAAACTTTCCGCAGAGGTTTGAAGAAGATTTCAACCTATCGAACAAATCTGATAATCAGCTTAACAATAATGGTCAATCATGCTTCATTAGCACTTAAATGTAAAGCTGTTGTCTCCCGGTTTGATCTGCTGAATGATTAATGTGGGGTCTCCAGAAAATTCGCTGAAATAATAAAAAAGTTCAATAATTACCTCAATAATTTTTAGACATCGATGATTGCAGAGACGGAAAATCAAGATGCAGCTCGAATGGACGTTGCATAAATACTCAGGGTTCTTCCAGTTGTCAGTGCGTTGATGGATTTTATGGGAAGGGAAAGTACTGCTACTATGAGGACGAATGCGGAAGTGGGCCCTGTGATTCAAACGCATTTTGCAACAATTCTGAGGGATCTTATCTGTGCACGTGCAAATCTGATTTCTATGGTAACTGGTTTTCGTGCTTTGGTCAGGACAGGCCTACTCTGGGACCTTAAGTCGCCGTAACTTTTGGCGACTTTGGGCGATTTAAGGCGACTTAAAGCGACTTTAGCAAAACTGGCACAAAAAAATATTGCGACTTTAGGCGATTTAAGGCGACTCAAGGCGACTTAAGGCGACTTAAAGCGATTTTATTTGACTAAAGCGATAAAACTAAAGTTAGCAACAGTCTGTCCATAAACTTTAAAAATATCTACAGAATCCCTTGCAATAAACACAACAGTCGTTTCGGTTACTTAGGTATGCTCATAAGTCACCATAGTCTAAAATATCCAGATTTCAAATCAATTTAGCTAAAAATGTTCAGACAGAATTACTACAACAGCTATTGTAAAATTATACATTCAAAGCTAGTAAATAAATAGCCAGGAAAACATCATGGGTTACATTCCCAACATCAAGCAAACCTATCATAAATATACACATAGTGCCATAAATCTTTAATTTAAGAAAAGAGACACAACTTTAATGAAACTATCCATAAATTTTCCACATAATTAATTAAAAATAACATGATTATTTACGTGTATTTATTATTTCACAAAGCTCCACAAATTATAAAAATTGTTATCTTGGTAAACTTGTCTCCCATAATTTTGGCACTTGCACTGTCAATTTTGGCATGAAAGATTGGCAAGTCGCCTGCCTTTCCAACAGCATCCAAAATTGCACGGGTCCTTTTCAGTGACCCAACCAATTTGTTGTTCTCCTGCCTCAGTTAGACAAAACACCCCAATACCATACTGAGAACCAAATGATAAGGTCCTTCCTAAAACTACTTCCTTTTCAGTCTCTCCAACTACTTTTCTAGCTGCAGAAAACTATGATTGGAGTGGAGTGGATAGGGTCAATTGGGAAGGGTGGAACCGTTATGACATTGCATAACCAATAGCAACCTAAGGAGACTTAAGGCGACTCAAGGCGACTTAAGGTCTCAGAGTAGGCCTACACATTATGACAACCTACTTCTCTCATTCTTCTCTGCTTCCTGCTGAGATTTCTGTGTGCCACTCGCTTGCCTTTCTTTGCTCTTGTGGAAGCATCACAGAGACTCTTCAAATACGTGGCACCAGCACCTTCCAATAAAAAGTTCACACCAATGGTATTAGTACATAAAAGCTTTATCACCTACTTAAAGCCCCAGTAAATAGACTAATGACACCAACCATTTGCAGTAAAATCGATCCATGATAAGCGATATCAGTTGATAAAACTCAATGCCAGTTGAATTATATTGAATATCAATGACCAATGACTCATATGATTGATTGCAATCATCGATCAGTTGTTGTCACCAAGCACAGCTTTTTTAGACAAATATATACCCTATCAAAACTCTATGCTAAAAGAGAGACATTTAATTCTAAAGTATGTATTTGCTTGATAGTGCTAAAGGCTTTCAACAACCCCAGCAGCAGACTACTATAGGCACAGTTACCTTTCATCTCAGCTGCTGACCAAGGGAACCTATTGGATCTACTGTGATCGGCCACCACTGCCTCAATTACCCTCATGGTGGCTTCCTGATTAGCATCAGCTGACAAGCAAGAAAAATTCAATTTAATAAACCCAACGAAAAAGAGAAAATATTGCATATGACAAGCTCAGTAAAAACCATTTTGTAAACAATGTAATCCTTCTGGGACTAAAAGAAAACTCTGGGTTCCGAATAGGAGTCCTGCCTATATAAGACCCTACAATTACATACAGCAGATGCTTTAACAATAAAGTTCTAGTTGGCTTTTTTCTTTGTGCAAGCTTTTACAAAATTGACACTGACATGGCATTGATTTTAGCTATGTCAGATATACACTGCGCATGGATAAATATAATATTATGGCTGTTACTTTACCTGTCATCCAACTTGAAGCCTTTAAAAGCTAGTTTCATTCCCTTTTAGTGATTTGTAGATCTTTCGGAAGTCTTGCTGTAATAAATTAGAAAAAAAAATGAGGCTGCCACACTACTTCACTTCTCACTTTTCCTCAGAAAACAAAGAGTTATTACCAGAGCTCCGCAATTTTCCACTGTTTACAGTGTTCACAACTCCACACACATCCACGCAATGTTTCAATTTCAACGATGATTGAATGCTTCTGGCAATTTCCCTACACCTCAGAAACGTAAAACGGCTGATTGCGGAAAAACAATATAATATACAGGAGCAAAGCAAATACAATCTTGATTCAGGTACAAATACCGTTTGTTTCAAAATGACAGAAATTAAGTCACTTGCATGCATTGCTCTTTCGTTTGCTGTAAACAAGCCATTGAAAACATCTTGAAAACACTTACCCGGCATTGTTGCGGGATTGGGATCTTCCGTGTTTTTTTTTTCTGCTCGCTCTTTCAGGTCCTGAATTAGAGCTGCTCGCCATTTTGGATGTCAATTCCTGTATCATGTTTCGCTGATCGCTATCTCGCGTTTCGATCACTTCTCTCAAGCGTATATTTTCTGCAGTAACCTTTTCAAGCAAAACAACATACTGGCCGTCCATTTTGCTGATAGAAGAGGTCAGGAATGGGGTCATCGCAAGAAATTCAACTTTTTCACAGCCACTTACAACATTCACGAGGAAAAGGACGCGGAACGCCGTCAGAAATCACCGACAAAGCGTACCGAAAGAAATCTAGATGGCGGCAGCGGCAACCCTGTAGGCTTTTAAACAACAGTTAGACTGTAATTTAGCTTGTTTAGGCTGCAAAGATGTCTTCCCGCTTGCGAAAACAAAGTAGACTGTTGTGTGGGCACTGCGATGAATATTTACCTAAAGCAGCTTTCTGGAAACATCGCAAGGCTTATTACGATGTGCATAGGGAACGCTGAATAACTAAAACTGACGTTGAGCATTTGGAACACAGGGCAAAGAGACCAAAGCCATGTCAAGATCATGAGTCGCGCGGAGAAATGTGGGCATCGGGTTCTTCTGGCGATGAGGATCTTCAGGCAGTTAAATCTACTCAAGGTATGTCATACAGTAATTTTAATCAATAGATAACTCGAAATAAAGTCCTAAGGATCTGAGGAAGCAGTATCGTGCCAGCATTTCTCTGCGAATTAGATAAATGATCATTTGTGATTGCGCGCTCATTTGACATGAAATCACACGTATGATTTCAGACCTTAGAAGATACATGAAAAAATTAATCAGTTCTGATTGGTTAAGATGGATGCAGTTTTCAGGTAGATCAATGCAGAAGAGGGTTAATTCAGTGCAAAGAAGAAACAAACCAGACTGAACAATTCCTTGAACTGTTTAGCCGGACTTTGAACTTTTTTGCGCCTTAAAGATGTGAAAATATCAGTGTATATTATCGTTTTGATCGTACGCGGTTATTTTGACCGAACGCACAATATCACTTAGAAGGTTTGAATAAACTATGTTGCACTTGATGAGTGCACTTTGCTTCTGCATAATTATGATATCGTATTTTTTCATGTATATTTTTAGTACGTTATCACATGATTTTTCTCATGCAATTTGGAATAAATGAGCACTTTGAAATTTTTTTCAAAGATCACAAATTGCACTCACCCCACGGGCTTGTGCAATTTTGTTAGTCTTAGAAAAACCTTTTCTCGTGCTTATTTATTCCAAATTGCACGGGAAATAGTGTGTTTACTTATTCAAAATGCATTCCTGTAAATTGCCATTATAAATTGCCTCCTGCGTGTATTTTCTTTCTGTTGCGTACTCTCCCCCCACCTCCCGCCTCTTTTCCTGGCCCCTTTCTAGATAGCCGAACAGAAACTAAAGGGCTCTGAATATGATTTATAAATTTACACTAGAAAAAATACTGAGCTTTAACAAGTAAAAAAGGGAGTGCAGCTTTTCAATACCTAGTTGTTGAAAACTAAATTTTGACAGCCCTCATCATTTGGGTGAATGACTCTCAAATTGTACTGGTCCAGTAAAATTTTCACTGCACCCATCCTCACGTCCTCATCGGCTAATTTTCATTGATAGAGATAGAGCATAATACTGTTTGGTAGGGGGGGGGCATAATAATTCTCCATATAAAACTGGCAGCAGTGATAAATATACTTTAAAGAGGTACCAAAAAATAATATATTTTGTTCTGTACCAGCCTGGGGTAACTTAGCCTGGAAAGACTATCATTTAGACATGTTCTGATACCTTTCAAGGAATTGTTTGCAAAAGCCAATCTGCATATCAACACACAAGTGCAATTTTTATCACATGATAAATACATGTACTTTAAACTCTTGGTGACTCGATTCACTTTTGCTAGGACAGGTTCCCAAGATAATGTTTTTGAGGATATTTTGGGTGACGACAAAGAGTTTTTAAGTGCAGTGAGTGGTGATTTGGAGGGAAATACAACTGATGAGGTAGGTTCTATATGTATCTTTACGTGCTAGCTACAGGTACATGTTACAGGTAAAATTGTTTTCAGGTTAATATGTTTTCAGCATACTCTAGGTTATTTGGTTTCTTTTACTAGTGTAATCATGGGAAAAACAATTAATTTAAAATTATTGGAAACAAATTAGCCTGACAAACAACTTAATTTGTTAAATGTCCGTTTATTAAGTGATGTGTTTGGGAAGCATTGTAATATTTTTTTGTCACTTTGTGTTGGAGGTGTATAATTATCAAGTTAGAGGTTTGATATTGTTAAAAGTTTCATAGAGGAAAATACTTCTTACATTAAGGATCCTTTTTATGCATGGTGTATAGATTGTACATAAGTTCCTTCTACTCAGGTACAGAGACACATTAACATTACAATTATGGATAAAAATTTATTTCTTGTTTTTGTTTGAAGTCCAATTCTTCTGACACTGATGGATCTGAAAGTGAACGTGACAGAGATTGTAGTGGTAGCGGTTGTAATGATGATGAAGATTCTGTAGTATGGCATGAGGATGTGGATGATCTTTTTTTAAGATGTGGCAAATGATGAACCTCTGCCAGAACCAATCCGACACCAATCATCTACACAGACACTGACAATATTAATTAAATGGCTTATTTACTTTTTGTTGTTTTGGCTAGCAACTTGCAAGATAAGTGATAATGGCCTTGAGTGGTTGTTACCTTTTATGTTCCAGTTTTTGCATGTGGTGCGGATCAATTGCAGTAGTGAATACCTTCCCCAATTGGCCCTCATGCGTCCAAGTTCACTGTACCTACTTCGAAAGTTTGTTAACTTAAAGCGTGATAACTTCGTCAAGTTTGCAGTCTGCCCAAAATGTGCATCACTTTACCAGTTGGAGAGCTGTACAAGGCTAGTTGGAGGTCAGATTGTTTTAATTATCTATAGCCACAAACCATTCAACAAAGACCATGTCAGTGAGTGTGGAACAGCATTGGCAAGAAAAGCGATCTCAGGCAGTGGTAAAGTGTGCTTCTATCAACACAAAATTTACTGTTTTAACAGTGTGATTGATCGAGTTGAAGAATTACTTAAAAGGTCTGGAATTCCTGAAATGTGTGAACAGTGGCGTGAACATCAAGTAGATGAGAAAATTGTGACAGATGTTTATGGTGGCAGCATCTGGAGAGACTTTCTAAAGTTCAAAGGAAATGACTATCTGAATGCACCCAGAAACCTTGCATTTGCAATCAATGTGGACTGGTTTCAACCATTTAAGAGGCGAAATGACAGAACTGTGAGAGTCATTTACTTGGTTTTCTTAAATCTTCCAAGAGAACAGCGGTTCAAATGGGAGAACATTATTGTGGCAGGAATTGTACTAGAAATGAGCAAAGAGCCTACGTCACTGAATACATTTTTAGCGCCAATTGTTGATGAGCTCAAGGCATTTTGGATAGATGTAAAACTTAAAACCAGTCAGAGTAAGATACCAATAACATACCGGGGTGCCCTTCTCCTTGCTTCAGCTGATCTTCCCGCTGTGTGAAAACTCTGTGGGTTTAAAGGTCATTCTACACACCGGGGCTGTCCAAAATGTTTTAAGTATTTCCCAGGGAGCTTCGGAGAGAAAACAGATTACTCTGGCTTTGACAGAGACATGTGGCCACCACGCCATAATAGCAGTCATCGAATTCATGCGGAAATGGTACGGAAAGCTTCAACCCAAAGTAAGCATGAGACATTAGCAACAAAGTATGGGGTCTATTACAGTTCTCTGTTACAACTCGAATACTTTAATCCAGCAAGGTTTAATGCAATTGATCAATTGATCCAATGCATAATCTGTTTTTCAATCTGTGGATTAAGAAAAATTTATTATCAAAGAAAGACCTCAAAGTCTTAGAAGATAGGATTAATTCTTTTGATGTTGGAACTGGAATTGGACGATTGCCGCACAAAATAGCATCAGATTATGGTGGCTACACGGCGTCTCAGTGGAAGAACTGGATATTGAGTTATTCCATGTTTTGTCTGAAAGATCTTTTACCAGAAACTCATTTAAGATGTTGGCAGACGTTTGTTCTTGCCTGCCAGTATCTTTGTACTCCAGTTCTGTCCAAGACAGACATTATAAAAGCTGATCTGCTGTTTGTCAAGTTCGGCGAAAGATTTGAAAACCTGTATGACAAAAAAGCTGTGACACCAAATATGCATCTTCACTGCCACTTAAAGGAATGTGTCATTGATTGTGGACCAGTGCATGCATTTTGGTTTTTCAGCTTTGAACGTTTCAATGGAATTCTTGGTACGATGCAAGTGAATGGAAGGTCTGTGGAGATACAACTAATGCGCAAACTTATAGCTTGACGGTTTGTTTGAGATGTAAAATTTCCAAATGAGTTCCAAGAACATTTTTTGCCATTTTTTGCAATTTTTTTTCCCAAAATGAAAGTAATGATTTATCTGAGAACTTCGTGGTAGAAATGCCTCTCTTTTAGAACACGTTTTTGTCAGCGGTGGGCATTTGTTACCAAAATAGGATTCTAAACATGACACTCAGTAAGACTTGAACTCATAAAGGTACTGACCTTTTTAAGAAGAACACAGTTCGAACTTGTTATTATTTTCAAACTAAAAAAAAAACACAAAACGACACGCATCATGCCCACGCTACTTCATCGTGCCTACACCGCTTCCTTAAAATATGGTTTAAAAACATTTGACAGAATTCATTGTACATACCATGCAGGAACCGTGATAATTTTTACTTTTGAGATTAAATCAGCGATCTATACGGCCAATCAGATGTTACTTTTCTAATCACGGGCTGGAATATCTATATAATTTCATGTAAATTTACATATACTTCGTATTTGTAATAAAGTTGAAACATGAATTCAATTTGTCAACATAGTTCCGGCTTGTAGCGAAAACGA